GCTGGCTGCCCTTTGCCCGTGGCTAGAATCCATATACGCGCTTGAGTTTGTGTAGCCTTGCAGCTGGTATTCAGTCTTTCTCTGAGCGTAACGTTAGTTTCCTTTAAGAAAGGCGATGAGATTGTCCGTAGATCAGCCCACCAAGTCTCTATTTCTCTAACCAGCACTGCCTCTTTCTATAGCAATACCCTCATTGGTAAGCCTATCGCTGCTCTTGCTATTGTCATTCCTAGTCGTTCTCACTAGTATATTCTCTATATGATATGCTGAAGGAAGTCAAGTAAGACAAAGCATCTTGTAGAGGGATCCTTTGCTTGTGGTGGGCGATTTTGATTCGGAAACCTGGCACGCACTATATGTGAACGCCACCGGACCTACCCAGGAGCTCGAAGATGAGCAAGAGAAGTGCCTCGAGGCCCTGTTGTCTGAGGCACTGCTGTCTGAGAAGGCTACGAGCTAAGATAGACCATCGAGCTGAAGAGGCTTTTGAGGATCATCAAGGTACGCCGAGCAAGATGTTCCAAGATTGGGTTGGCTCCATTGGCATCTTCATTCTTGCAATTACGTGTAACTTCACTATTGGTGGCCTTTCCTGGTTGGGGACAGACCTGGCGTATCAACATACCTGCGACGATAGAGTCACAAGCGCTGCCTCTTCAACACCACAAAAGCCGCAAAGCAGCAAGGGGACGCGTTTAAGACAAGTTAAATCTTTCGTCTTCTTGGGCAACTGTAAGTTGCCCGCACCTGAATCGGAGTTGCTTGCGCTGGCCGCACAGTACCTTGACGCATTAGAGTACTCGAGCATAAGCTGCACTCATCTGCTGAGATATGCGCAGACAACAATATGATGATAACCAGTAAGACTTCCGACGATTTCCCGTCTCATTCTACCCGATCCGCAGCAGCTGGAATGGCCACATGGCTTTGCACTCGGGAACAGTGGGTGGGCAGCTAACCATATCTCAGGTCTAGGTTCGTCGATGCATAAAGTAACCCAGCCACCCCAAGAACCAGGTCGTGTCAAACAAAGATGTGCAGTTACAGGTGAGAAAGACAAAGTAGAATCAATGAAAAGAGGCACGGTCGCAAAAAGGTCCGCAAAATCTCACCACATGTTGAGATCCTAAGAAGGCAAAAGTATATCTTGATAGAGACGAGATTCGAACTCGCGCGGTTTCCCACTGGTGAAGGAGAACGATTACGTAAGCCTAAAACCAGCGCCTTAACCACTCGGCCACTCTACCTGATCTTATTTGATGATCCTTGTGATCAGAAGCGCGTCTATGTTGGCTGGGGAGCAGTTTATGATGCGGATGGCTGAGTTCGGACGGTGAGGCGGGGGCTGGTGGGGTTTGCTGACCGTGGGAGCATTATGATAGATGCGCTAGTCCCAATATGGTATCGTGCTTATGGGGCCAGTAAAAGGTGTCACTTGTTTTGTTTCTCGAAAGCATTGTTTATGCACACATGGTTGTTCACAAGTGTGACAGAGAGTGTGTTACCACCCACCAAGTAAGTCACCACTTTCAAGAAAACAACTGGTTCATGTCAAGAGTGCAAGCAGCCGTATCTACAGGGAGAAGAGACATTCAAGAGTCCTAGGTTTCAGTGAGATGTGATCCTGCTGTGGTGGATGTGTTATGCATGCATGGATTATGCCAGCCACGTTCAGCCACACCCTACCAAGAGTAGTTCTCCATAAACAGCATCTTCAGTTGCACCGACAGCTCACAGCACAATTCACGTCTAGTGGACCAGCTAGTCTGGGCATATTTGCGATTCCGTAATGTTGGCTCTGGTACCTTGAGAGATTTGGGTTTTTCAGACACCCGCAAGGTGCCACACAAGGTTTTCGGAATCTTCTCCAGCTTATTACCTCTCCGCAACAATGCGGTGTTGTCATTCGGCACGATCCTTTAGCTTGAAGAAACCCCCAGATTAGAGTGTTGGCGGCCGAGCCCAAGATCCGGTGCTCTCCCAGGTAGCCTGGCCTAGCATCGCATACACAACTGAGGCAAGAGTCATGTTCAGGTCATGAGCATTATGCAGGCCACGAATATCCTTAGAATTCTGTGATAGCGTCGCGTTGCGATTTCACTTCTGCATTCTTTGCTGATATGGCAGACTTCGGGCCGGTTGTTCTGCAATGTGGCGCGGAGCCGTGGTACTCGGCCCCGAGTGGGGCCATGATGGATTGGCCAATCATACCGTAGTACGTTGGTAAAAGCGGGACAGCGGCTGAAAGCTCACCGGTCTCGTCCGCTTCACGGATGCGCAATTCAACTGTTCCCACAGCATTGAATCCTAGAGTCATCAAGGACTTTCGGATTCCCTTATACGTTCGCTCATCCAAAGAACATTTTGGCCGCACATGTACACCTCAAGCTGATGTGCCTTATCATCCGGCGCTTGTTTGCCTACGATACCCATCTGACTTTCCATTGTGACTGGTTTACGAGCGGTTTGATGCTGTTTACCTTAGGTAGGTACCCAAAAGGGCGTCTCAGTCGCTTCGCTTCAGAGCGCATCCTCCCTCTCGGCGTAAAGTCGTAGGTGAGGCATGTAGCAATGGTACTGCACCTTGCCTTCGGCCTCGTTCATCGAACAGACTGAAAGCAGTCGGGTAGATTCATTATCCCTGCGCACCCAAAAACCATCGTCCACAGGAGAGGACTCGAACCATTGTCAGTTAGCATTGCTTGATCCCACATCATTGCCTGCGGTCTATCTCAGGCGCCGTATTTCTAATCCCTAATCACGCATTCCCGGGACATCTCTTCATCTTGTCCCTTCAGTTTCGGCTATATCGCTATTATTCAAGCTCATCCGCAGATTGTCTTGACTTATCGTAACCATTCTTTCTTGCTTTGTCTCTGGTGCTCTTGTTTTTCTTGATCCTCAACGACTCTGATCCAGCCAGGCCAATGAAGCGGGGCTCCAAGAGGGCGGCATCGGTGTCTATGATGAGTCTTGCATTGAGAGTCGGGTTGGGGATTATCTTGGTGTTTGATCATTATGCCTATAGTTAGAGTGGTTGATTTTTTGTATCGCCTTCTGAGTTCGACCCGTCCTAGGTATATTTCGAGACAAGAGGCCGGCGGGTGCAGTAGAGTTTATAATAAACCATTCGGACTAATACTAGCTATTATAAGTATTAAAACAGTATGTTAATATCGTAGAGATAGCTCTAATATTACGTCTAAGTTATATATACTTAATAAAATATAAAGTATAACTATTTAAATAAGACTAATATTTTATTATTATCCTTATTGTACTTATTTTCTTTATTATTTTTTACTATTCTTGTTATCTTTACTACCCTTATTATCTTTATTATCCCTCTTATCCTTATTATCCCCGCTATTTATATTATCTTTACTGTCCCTACCTTATTATCCTTGCTATCCTTGTTATCTTTATTATCCTTATTATCCTTACTGTCCCTGCTGTCCCTGCTGTCCCTGCTGTCCCTGCTGTCCCTGCTGTCCCTGCTGTCCCTGCTGTCCCTGCTGTCCCTGCTGTCCCTGCTGTCCCTGCTGTCCCTACTGTCCCTGCTGTCCCTGCTGTCCCTACTGTCCCTGCTGTCCCTGCTGTCCCTGCTGTTCCTGCTGTCCCTGCTATTCTTGTTGTCCCTGCTATCTCTCTCGTTTTTATTATTTTTATTATTTTTAATATCCCGAGCCTTTTTTTATATATACGGAAAGGTATAAGAGACTAACGATAGGTAGTTTTAGGAATAAGGCTAAAAGTATTAAGGATAATTTTATTATTATAAATATATAATGACCAAACGTAGAGCTTAGTATTTTATAAAAAGCTAGTGAAATTAGAGTTACTATAGATTTATTATAAATAGGGAGGTCCGGAGACTAGCCTTGGCAACCCAAGTTGAGCTTTTGATTCTCAAGAATGTGTATAGCATCAAATTTATCACCACCATCACTTGCTCAAGGGACCTTTCAGCGCCAGGGGATGAAATCGATCTGGTTCAATAGTTTCAGCCCAGCCTCATGGGTCGCGGGGAGTGTGTTCCCTTTGACCCTCGCTCGCAGACTCGGCACGGTGTTGAGGGCGAGTTCGCCGAGGTTTGTGCTACGACTACGATGTGTACCTTCCTGTTTCCCGTCCTCGAACGACTCATGGAATTAGACCCCGACGAGAATCGGAAGACCCTGAGAAACACATAAAAGAGCTCGAAGTGTCGACAGCTATGCCCTAACATGAACGGTGGAGAGACTAGAGGCATCGGCATCTCTTCGGTCACTGACGTTATTCGCATACTAGAGGATGTTCATGGACCAACGTTGAAGGCCTTATTTACTACGTAACGTATCATCAAGCTGAGATCCCTTGTTGCCTCCTCTCATACTATCAAGAAGAAAAGGATGGTGGTGTCACCTTGCCTCGCGAACCCCTCACCTCTCCACCGAAAGAAACCATCCGCTGCCCTCGTCTATGACACTACCACGGTTCTGCTATGATTCAGAAGAGAAGCGATGCCTAGGACGGGCGTTATTGCTCTGAAGTTGTAGGGATAACGGGTCAGGACTGTAGTTCTGGTGTACCGGTCGCACCACCAAAGTCAGCCGCCCCCGTGATGTCGTCTTTCACAATTTCTCCAGGAACCTCTTCCACATCCGTGTACTTCCGATCCGCGCACCAAACCACCCAGCTTGCCATCAGAGAGCTTGCCTTTTTGATCTTGTACACCTGAACGATGTTATGCTGGCGCTGCCGATAACTCCGGGCGATGGCCTGGCTGCCAGACCTCTCTGTCCACAGCAGCTAACACAGGATGGCGAAGTGAGCACTATTTAGCGTGGTAGCTTGATCGCCGACCCATGACAGTAACTAACGTGTCACAGCGGCCTTGAAAGGCCGTAAACTTCCTTCTAACTTCCATCTTCTTGTCGGCAGCGATAATCCAATTGAACTGGAAGATGGTCCGTCGTGTTTGAACATTTGCGATAACGTGAATGCCATAATCAGTCAATCTAGTGGCCAGAGCAGCTCTGAGACAGACACAATCTTCGCGCCTGGACTTTCGTCGATAATGTCCGGATGGCCTGAAGGATCGCTTGAATCATGGGCTCCTCAATCAGTTGCTGGGGCTTGAGATTGCCCGACTTTTGCTTCTTGCCACTTGCTGCAGATACTTGGGGACCATTTTCCTTACCCAGTTCGAAGTAGAAGACAGCATCTTCATCGTCATCCATATCGCCAACGCTATAGCCCTAAATCTCTGCCATCGTCATCTGAGGCGTCTTGGTCCCTACGACAGTATCGCAGCAGTTTCTCCAGAGTAGCATTCTTGTAGGGGATGCCGTTCTGGTGACATTACTGCTTCAGGGCGACTGCGAATACCGCCGAGACCTGGTGAAGAAGGAGGATCAGTGAGAAGGGTAAGACGCAGGCTTGAGCAGAGATTCCCAGCATGGCTTTATGGTGTACTTGCGCGACGCTCGTCGACCTGTTTCCGAACGTGGAGATCTCCCCAAGGTTCTCCGTCAAGACGGCGATTTCAATTTCCCGACCAAACGGAAGAGGAAATGTGAAGATGTGGTCGATATCGCCGGGCATATTGAGGACGACGGTTGGTAGCTTGACGACGAACGCGTCAAGGAATCGCCAAAGACGGGATCCCACGAGCAAGGTCGGAGGTCTCACGCTGTTCAGTGCGCCAAAGACCCCAAAGACGCATTCGTGAGTGAGGATCTTGCGCCGGAAGAGCAAAACGGATCCTCTATGTCGATAGGCATTGCTGGCACTGGACGTTCTGCCAGAAACTATGCAGACTTGATGTCGAGCGGTCTTGTGGATGATTCCGCCTGCGAAATTATTCATGTAGTGAATGGGCTTCATCTGATACAACAGTAACGAATGCTAGGATTCAAAGTTGCCAGGACGCCGTAAACAAGAGGCTATCTCTTTTGTACACACTGTCGAGGTCCGAATTAAATATTGGGCAAGAACGAGATAGAGGAGCGCGGCCTCCAGTTCTATGACGAACCAGCTCCCTTAGTGCCTTCCTACAACGTATTAGTAAGTAACTAGAACGTAACGACGTTGCTCCTGAATGAGCTCTGCCGAAGTCATGTTCTTGGCCGCGAGGACGAGCGTCCGACGCTTGTGTCCCCCTCCACGTATTTGAGGTGACAGTAGTAGATCATACCCTTTCGGAATGGCTATTCAGTTCGAAACCCCGCATAGCAATGATACGCTTCAATGCTACCACCAATACTGTCCCTCCGCGAGACGCACTCCGATGATGGCTATGATGACCAGCAGCGTCTTGTTAAGGCTCATTTCGTCTGCAACAGTGGCAGCAGCTAGCGTTCCCTCCACGATTGTTCGAATTCCAGGGATGGCGATCTTCTGATGGTCCTTGAGGCAAGTACATGGCTTGGGAAGCTGGCTAAGATTGACGTATGGGGGCATTCGTGGACCTTGGCCTCTGAGACTTGTGTTAGCTGGGTTGCAATCAGAGTTGTTTTTCGGCAACCTGTCCATGCGTCGAAGTCGATCAGCTCTGGTTCCCATTACCAACTGTTCAACTCCCCTCCGTTGACCCAACCTTTGAGGAATTGGTCGGTAGTGATGGACGGGGATAACTTCACCTAGCGATTACCCCTCGACGATATTTATATGGGAGCTTCTCCTCAGTCAAGTTGGTTTCGCGAACGGATGAGATCGTCCGACATCTCCGCTAGTGGCTCTCCGATCCCTCCCTAGCCCTTCAGATTCAATGCTCTGGCCCCTCTCAGAATAGGCTCGAAAGATACACTCCCGACTGAGTTCACAGTAGGGAAAGCCGTGATAACGATTGACGGCTCTCAGAAGCCACGCCATGTCTCCCTAACCGATCATCGAAAGCTCCTGTTGTGAGTAGTCTTTCTCTCCTGAAACTCTTGGTAGAAACAATCGTTGCTCTGTGTGCGCACTCTGGGTAGCCACCCTCCTGGCGGTAGACTACCATTGAGGTTAAAGGTGAAATGGTCGATTGATTTCAGAGTGGCCGAGATAGAGGCCAATGGATTCAAGTAAGAGAGTTGAGCGCGAGTGTGCAAGACAGGGAGATAGAAAAAGAGGGAGAGGAAGGCCGCCAGGCAGGTAATCACTTACTTGGGTACTCAATCTCCTCATGCTCCCTTGAAAGTAAAGGCAGGTGCCGTTATCGTTAATTTTATCCGCTCTGGGGTTTCTCGTGCTTCTAGAATGACTGTCAATGACGTGAAGCTCTTCCTCATACGAAGGATGCCTGTTCGAGACCGGCTTCCACCAGTAGAGTTAACCTCCCCCCCCCCCTTTTCGAAGATATGGCTCCTCCCATTTGTTATCAACGGCGAGTCCATAGTCTTTCTCGGCCTGAATGGAAGCTCATTTTTATCTTTCCACGCAGATACTCGTTCAATAAAGACCAGTCGCCTCATACCAAGAGATCGACAACCTGGCAGCCCAGTTGCCGTGGCGTTGAGATGAGTAGACACGATCCTGCTTTCATTTTCAACACATACCTTATCAACTTAACTATGAGTTATTCACCTTCTCTACTAGGTTCAATTCTGGTCTAACATCTTCTCAAGCCAAGACAAGCACACATCTCCAAATGAGTGTGAGAAACAACTTTACTTCATCACGGTCAAACATCTCAGCGCAATGGACATGCTTGACCCGCCACCAACTGTTCTAGTCCGGTCTGGTTCTTCTCGTCTAGTCCACGGAAAGGCTTTGAAAGCCCTTAATGAAACATCTTGTCTATTTACTGCGCCAAATTCGAGCATACTAGGAGTAACCACAGCCCGGCTCGACCCATCATTGTCCACTTACACACATCGTTCTTCCACATACGACCATACCCATTGGAAAATTCGGGATCCCGTCCGCTCTCCCATAGACAAGCCAATGAGGGCCGGATTAGTAGCTGGGTCGGTGACGACCAGCGAATCCCTGGTGTTGTATGTCTCTTTTGGTGTTTTGGGTGGTTGGTTTCTCACGATGTGAGGCCCTGTGGAGCGGGTGGTGGGTGACGATAATGATGGCCTGATTGGCTTACGCGCGGGACACAAGTATTCTCAATAATATCCTAATGTCAAGGACTGTATTCTCTCGTCTTTTATTCCGTCTTACTCATCTTATTTTGCGTCTGTAGGTTGACTCTATGTCGCGCGAAGGCCTGGGGCCGGAGGGATAATGTTCACCCAGTGGTCTCCCACAAATTATTTTCTAGTCAGATATCTGCTAACTTCGAAATGATAACTGCCAAATTGCATCTCACTATCGGTTGATTTAACAGCTGTTGCCTAAGGAATGGGCAGATACTATGAGGTGACAGTACTTCAGGCTCTCACTCGTTCGCAACATCAAGTAGTAATTGATTGCAGTTTTGAGAGCCGCTTTTCTGTCACTACCTGCGAGCCTCACGAAACAGTCATCCTTCCCATCATTGCATAGCCTTCTGAGTCCCTTGTACTACCTGTAGGCTCCATTAACTTGCGGGTGGGCTTCTTTCCTCCGCTTCCTGCCATGACATGCGGAACGCCCTTTTCATTCAGGCAACCCTCCTGGAAACATTTCTAGCAAGTTGGAGGGCAAGAGTAACCACGTGACGAAAACTGGCTGCCGGTGTCTACATCTACGTCGCATTGGAGCAGGCGCAGACGAAACTATGGCTTGCTTCATGAACAGTAGCTGCCCTCTTTTCCGTACCATTCTCTTCTGCTTCGTCCTTGACATCATCCAACATCACCGACCATAACATCACCACTATCCGTACCAAGTCTTTCTTATCTCGACAGAAACATCCCCAACGAGCCAAACCAGTTTCAGCCTGAGGCTGACGGAAGACTCGCCGAATTACCCAGAACAGGTTTGGTTCCAACTTCCAGCATGCCATCAACGAACCATGGCAGCCAGCCGTTGGGGTCAAGTAGCGGTACAATTCGTTACTTCGTTCTCACCAAACCAAAGGAATTGCAAAGTCTGTTTTGCTTTTTCACCAACAGCTCTTCTCGTGTCCAGAAGCGACAAGTGACAGGTCAGCAGACATGAAGAGACATGATTGAGACAAATCAACTAATATCAAGCGGCTTTAAAGGTCTGGCCCGGGGCCCAAAAAGCAAACATTGGACAAGCAAACACCAACGCCAGATCACCGCTGCCGTGGCACAGTGTCGATCTCGAAGATACATACGGGCATATTTTCTTTTTTCTACAAGCAACCACCATCTGAACGAGCAACGGTCCCCGGCCTGTCAGATTCCCATGGTACGATTATGTGGCTCCGGACGGTTGGCAACGGTTTTCGTCAGTTTGACAACACATTGTTCTGGCCGGTCCGGCAACTTCCCCGTGGTGACCCGAGGCAGCATTGGTGATAACGTCGGGATGGCTGTTGAACCGTGTCCGGTCTGCTACCGGAATCACACCTCCCTGCATCCAGGAATCCGACAGCTTGTCTCCCAATGGTACAAACAGTTGGCACCGAGGAGGTGCGGTTGATCTACTAGCCTATGCGACCGGGGTTGTTGACAAGCAAACACACCTATCATGGGCAATCATCTTTCATCACATGGAAGAGGTTCTTTTTCACCCCCATATCTAGTCCACAAGTCGCATCTTGGAACTGCAATCGACTCTGTCCCGCCGCCATCGGTACCTGTTTTGCTTATGCACTGCAAGATTGGCTCGATCGCCACCAAAGATGAGCCCTTGTGGACGGCAATCTGTAACTATGGTACTGAACCGATCGAAATCAACATCCGACAGACACCTCGCGTATTTCATACTGGGCAGCCAATCGACAATCCCCAGCTCACGGTTTTGCTTTTTCTCATTACCAAGTGCAAGGATTCCCGGAAGCGAACAGGCTAATTTGTTCCAGATATTTGGTCAGATATCAATTCTCTATCCTCACTCATCAAGGGAACGAAGTGCACTCGACAAATGAGATTTGAGAGACAACAACTCTGGACCCTTTTAGTCACATTTCAGATGGCTTGTCGCAGAGTCCAATATGTTCACCCTGCAACCCAAGTAAAACATACCCACGCAACACTGCACTCGACCGAAAAGGTTCGCGGGGCGTACGATGGCTTCGAAGGGGACGTTCACTTTTTCTGCAAGATCCTGCAGGACAATCTGTTTCCTTTGCATCTGCAATGCATCATAGGAGTGTCGCCGTCATGATCTTGCTTCTTTCTGCAAGGAGTAGACTTCG